TTCCATAAGCTTTTCAGTCAGTTCAGAGTTTCAACGGTTATGCATTTCCTCGAGAGACCGAAGTTTCAAAGTTCAAATCTCGTGAGCCGAGGTAGTTGATGCACACTGCCGAAGAGTCCCTGCACTAGGACGAAATGGTCCTTCAGTGCTTCCAAGTTTATAAATGGTAATTTATTAATGATTGATAAACCTTTTTTCAATTTGAAATCTTCATTTTCACCGTGTAAATAGATAACAGTCACTTTTGATTTTTTTGTAAAGCATTTGTTGATTTACTACTTTTATAATCCAGTGCAATGGCTTTACACAAAAAGTAGGAAAATTGTATTTGATTGTAGAGAAACAAAATCGATTCCACAGTTCAGTTCAGTTTTTACATGATTTTATGAATTATTTCGCTCTAAAATAATACCTGAACTAAGTATTTCGAATTTTTGTTTATTCTTGAAATATACTAGTTATTTTATACCCTTTAAAATCCAGACATACAGATACAACACAGGACTATGTACCTACGTAGGTACATCAGTTCTGGTTGCCATACCACATTAGCACAGAGACCCAGTTTTCAGTTCAAATCCCATAATGGTAGCTAAAGTAGAAGTACTAGCAGCAATGGAGAAGATTAGGGAGCAAAGATATGATTCGAAAGGTATAATTCAGTGGGATAACGTTAGAAAGCGAAAGATAGAGATTATGAGGAAGTCAGAAGGTTAGAATTAGAGAGAACACAGCGAGTGGATGCTCCCTGTGCCACCAAAAACGATTTTGAGCCGTGTAGTTTAAGGTCTCTAACCACTGGTGGCTTTCGTCTCGAGGACCCAAACCAGGTAGCCTACATCTACCGAGATGACTCAGTCCACTTGTCAGTGACTTCATGAATTTGTGCTATGTTTAGGTAGGGCCGCCACTAGCTTTCTTTCAACCTATTCCTAGGCATACGTAACGCATGTCCTGACCAATACTTCATCTATTGAGCTGCTATCCTTACCTAGTACTCGTTTACTAACGACATCATTGCTCACTCAGTCGTCCCACGATATACGAGCAATGCTTCGGAGACACCTATGATCGAAGACAAGCAATCTACGAATGTCCTCTACTCTCACCGGTCATGTTTCGCATCCATATAATAGGACGGAGCGAACTGTTGCACAGTACACTCGTCCTTTGTTTAGCAAACGGATATCTCACCTACGCTATAGGTGACGCAAGTTGGCAAAAGATAATCGACCCTTTAAAAATGAAACGGATGTCTAGTTTACTCCAATACTCTACTAAAAGTATCTTACAGAAAACCATATCAACCTATACATTGATCAAAATTACAGAAAGACTAGGTTATATTCACATAATTTAGTGTATTTGTAGGAAGTTTATCTATTGACAAGTTAAGCAAACGAAACAACACCACAATTTCAGTCTGAAGATTTTTGAAAAATGGTTAACATTTCCCAGGTACTAGCTCACAAAACTAAACTTTAAAAAAATGTATTATTCGTGTCAATAAAAGTCTTTCTCATAATTATTTCATGTGTTTTTTCTTATCATCTGGTTAGTCACGTTTAATTTATGTAAATAATGAATGTGTACGTGCTGTATGAAGTATACTGTGTGTGTATAGACATGAGCAGTTAATTGCTCTCTTTCTCTCTCCATTTACTTAAGACCACTAACATAAAATTTGTTGCTTAAGTGGAGGATGATTGTGATGGAGTTTCATACTCTGAGCTGAATGTTTTGCATGTTGTGGAGCTTTCATTGTTCCGATTTTGAACAACAACATCTTCAGCACAAACTTCAGATAGCAGAAGTGAAGAGTAATCGAATTTCTCCACTCAGTATTAAAAAAAAACGATAAAAGCTCTACAACCAAAACATCCAACTCACTGAACGAAACTCCACTACGATTAACATAATTAAATAATTCAATATCAACATGACTACTGGTAATTGTTAGTAGTATACAAATGTACTTAAGAAAAAAACCTCACTGTTTATTTCAATGTTTAAATATTTTAATATAATTTTAAAAATCCATTGTTTACAATAATTAAATTATGATAATTACAAAGAATATTTTCTATTATTATGTTACATATTTTTCCCTACAATAATAATGTAATCACATTTTGTAGGCGCCGCCAATAGATGTAGGTTTTATCTGCAAGTGATTGATAGATTCAAGCTAATTTTTACATGCTTATTGCTTTTATCCAAAACCATTGTATGGTGGTATTTCTTTGAAAATTATATCTAATTTACTATTATTCTTGGCGATATTATTGATCAGAAATATTAATTATTATAATCCGATAATTTGTTTTTGGTAATATTCTAATAACTCCATTTTTTATTATAAAGTTATGGAGATTGTTGATTATAAGTGAAATCAAGAATCAGCCATTCACAGACCACTATTAGAAACTTGGAAGCACTGGACAGCTGTTTCGTTCTGGTACACTGTTCATCCTCTACCTCTGCCACACACAGGATTAAAACCCAGGACAATGTTGATCAGTCATATACCAGGAAGAAACGGTTGTACAGTCACCAAAAAATTATAATTATTATATTATTATTAAATGTCCACTCAATTTATTTTAAACTATCAAGTACAATCGTGGTATTGATACTAGAGTATCAGCATATAGCTGACTTAAGCTTATTTAGAGGTCTCAGATTGTAACTGAAAGCATTATCAAGAAATTAGATTACATGCTCAGCGCTATATAGTCAGTCCATCAACCTCTTTACAGCAAATATTTTCAGTTAAAAAATTATTTTTCATATAATGTGAGTATTTTAGTAGAAGTTGTTAATATAATATTAGTATCTTATTTATTAACTCCACCTGGAGCTCTCTCTTCTGGGGTTCTGCCCCTCCTAAGCCCGGATAAAGAAAGAGGGTCGGGCATGAGTTTGCCGATCATGGAGAAAACTAACTTGCTTAGAAAAAATGCTAACCAGAATCATCTTATTTAATACAAAGTAGATTAACGTAGGGGCTCTTTATAATATTATCATATTATTCTCATTATAACGGCAATCTGTCAGTAAACAGTGACGATTTTGTTCTCTCCATTTTTAGACTGTGTTCTAAATTACTTTTCAAATAACTCTTAAATTAAGTATCCTTTCAGTTGTGTTTGCTTGCTTATTACAAGGTAATATTGTTTAGTTTTGATTTTTACAGCACTTTGTATTCATACAATGAACATATACATCTTTTGTCTTGTAAAGTTTAGTTATGTCAGATGCTTAGAAATAGTTGACTAGAAACCTCAAACTTAGGTTAAGTTCTATTTGGCTCATTTAAGTAAGGGATATCTGCAACTTTGTGCAAACTGATGCTTCACATGGTATTAAAACCCATATCACCTATCTTCACAATCTGAGTCAGTACAATTGCGCTATTCAGGCAGATATGATTAATTTAGAATACTGGTTATACTGTAACTTAATCGGTAAGATTCGATTAGTGCAAAAAAAACAAAAAGAAAATTTACGTTATTGTAAGGAATACTGATAGAAACAATATGAAATTTTGGCATAGTATAAATTGTTTTAATGTTAACACAATACTTTTGTTGTCTCGAGGTTAGGCGAGATGCAGGAGTTGTGGATGCGCACTGCTGATGTGTTCCATATCAGGACGAAACGGCCTTCCAGTACTTCCAGGTTTCTAATGTTGGTCTGTCATTGATTGACTCATGAGTTCAATGGAAACTTTTGTTGTCATTCACTTTCATGATGCATGAAAACGATTATCTAAATGGATCAATAGATTGATCCTCATAGAATCATCATTTATCTACTGAAAATGTTTTATATTTACGTTAGAATAGTTTAAGTTTAACGGTTCTTAAATTCTCATCAGAGATAAAACATTGGAAATGTTTACAAAAGTAAAATCTACACTTCGGAAGTGAATAATAGGCATTTAGCTACTTCAGGATTTACTACTGGCTGACTATCACAAGTTATTAATTCCTTAAATGAACATGATAATTTTTAGTTTTTATAAACAGTGTTTCAATTTAATCGTTTAGTGACAATGTATTAGAAAAGATTCACGGTTCATATCTGGCTGAGGGATTTCCATCGACACACAAAAATCTCAAGGATGATTGGAGCATCTCGAATCATCAGTTCTCCGACTATTAATTCCAGTAGTGTTAATAATGGAGTCTAAATTTGTAATTAATGTTCTTAAGTAACGTGGCATTCTGCTGGCCCTAATGGAATATGTATTACTATTATTTATATTTTTATAAATCCTGAATTACAATGACACTTCATGCAACGTTAATTTTCAATCGGTCAACTATCTTTAATCGACTCTATGCATATTGATGGCAATCTTTGAAAAACATTATGTAAGTGACTAGCAAATTATTGTTACCCATTGTTCAATGATAACTCCGCATCGAGCCCCTCCGGGGTTATTGTTGATCCTAAACCCGGATAAAGGAGAAGGGTTGGGCATGGGATAAATAAACCTATCCCATAGAAATGTGGCTTGCGAAAAAACACTAAGCAGAAAAATCAGTTCAAACCATTTGAACTCAACCCGGGGAGTTGGAAGCTCTACCTTTGGAAGCACTTGAAGGTCTCATGATGAAAGACGCGTTTATTCGGGAGTCACAAGGATGATGATGCTTCTAACAACCAGAGCAACCGTTAATTGTGTCAGAATGTTTAGTGATAATTCATAATATTTGGTCATTTAATTAAAAACAACAATCAACAGTTGATTAAGATCACTTCGAAATAATCTATTCATATATATTTGTAGAATAAATTTTAGTTTTTTAAATTTATCAAAATGATAATCATTGTTAAATTTTCCAATATACACATCAGTAAATAGATTTTTAACAAAAAAAAACCTTTAAGTGAACAAAATGCAACTGCGGCGGGGGGGGGTAGGGAAGAAATCAGAAAACACGATAAACCGGCACATAAATTACACATTCACAAATTAAAAATGCACATTTTTAAAGTGTTGTAAAACTAGTCAATAATTCATTTTCTGTATTCGGCATTACATCATTCATGGCTTGTAAATAATATTGTCTAGTTGAATCAGTTAAATTTCTATCAGATTTATTCAATTGTTCTACTGGAATATGTCGAAGAATTGAATGTGGTATACAACCAGTTGTTATGTGTGGTGTATTGAATGACCGAGGCACATTCAAAGGTTGCATATACTCTGGATTGTGTTGATGTTCAGGCTGATGTTGATGTTGTTGATGTTGTGGTTGTTGAGATTGTGTTTGTTCTAGTTGATGCTGTTGACTATACATCTGATGACGTCTTTCCATTAATTGTTTTCTATGCTCACTTAATCTTCGACTTTGATAAAATGTGATCATAATGACAAGAATTAAAAAACAGACAAACAATCCAATAGCTGTCACTAATCCAAGTAGTACACCGATCCCAGTTAGTTCATTATCTACGGATGTATCGAAATCCAATCCATCTGAGGTTGATTGACCTTTAGTATAGTCAACATAATTGTTTGATGATTTTTGTCGAATTGAATGTTTTTTTATGTTGAAAGAGTTTAGTGAATCTTTTGAATTACTTGGTGGATAAAATGGCGGTGTAAATAGAATTCTTAAAATAGTTGACGATTTCAACGGTGGTTCTCCATTATCTGTTACCTGTGTGAAAAAGAAAAGAAATTTTTGAAATTTAATTTGCCTATGTGTATCCTGTCTGGCTTTTCCGAAATATATTGTCATTAAATTAAGATTGTAGCCATTATTTATCTCTGATTTCTAAAAAAATTGTTTATAACATAAAAAAAGCCGCAGTTTTCAAATATGTCAATCAAGTTAAACCATAATAGACCTACAAAAGACATATTCGCTTATGAGTAAACTGCTTTCAATTTAATCCTATTTTGACTAGCATTGATGACTGTTGTAGATTGTGTTTAAAACGCTTCGTTGTGGGCGATATCACTTATTGAATAAGTGTATCGAGTAATATCAGATATTATGATGTCTATTAGACCAGCATGACTAAACACATTCATGGAATATTGTTCCGTGATGTGTTTCATTTTTCTAATCTAACAGTTTTATCAGAAATTTCAAAAGCTCATATGTTTCGTCAATGATCAAGATAATGCAGGTTATGCAGTGAATAAAAGAACAAATTTTATCTCATAATGGCCAATTAATTATCATCACAATCAGAATGCTGAATAAATCATAGAAAAAAATATAGTCAAATATTTTAGGTTTGAGCTGTCACAACTTACATAATTCGGATAGATGAAATATAATGAAGATCATAGTCAAAATATGTGACTAATAAAAATTAAAATCTTAAATCAATAAAGAAAATTAAAACAGTTTTGATAGAACAGTGAGAAGAAGTAATCGATCTGAAAAATGTCGTAATGTATTTGCGCGATACATTTTGAACAATCTGGTCACACATTTTTACTTGTCAAGGCATTTTATATGATGATTAATAAAAGGTCAATTAAATAAAAGTTCAAATAGACATAAGGTGATAATTGCAAATAAAGGAGAGAGAAAATTACCTTAGTATGAAAAGAATAAGAAAGGGTAGGAAATTGTCACATAACCCTAGGCTTAAAGAATATCAGGGTAAATTCAAGGTTATAATAACCGATTGCCGTTTTTAGACATACTGTTGAGTCGAAGGAAGAATGGAACTACAAAGCGTTCAGTTTATAGAAAACCAACCTGGACTGGGTAGTATTCAAATTTCAGCAGCTTTTGCCCACGGCAATACAAGCGAGGCTTTGTAAAATGCCTCTTCGATGGGGCACAAAGGATTTGCACCATGGATACATTTGAAGACGATGCAAAATTCTTAACTGAACATTGATTTCAATCGTCTGTCCGTCTATCTGTGAAGATAGAAGCCTGTTTTTCATTCCCCTGAGAAGAAGAAGGTTTATATCACTTTACCATTTAGAGATGGATCGAATGGTCTAATCTTAAGACAGCAACTTAAAGCAACCATAGAGAAAACATACTACGCTGCTAAACATGATAGAATTTCTGATACAAATGTCTAGACAGTTTTATTGTATGGGGCGGAGACTTGGAGAGGCAAGAAAGCCATCGTGCGGAAGATATAAGTATTTAATAACAATTGTCGACGAAAAATACTTTGCATCAGTTGGCCAGACATCATTGGAAACAACACACTGTGGGAGACAACATAAAAGATTCCATTGAAGGAGGAAACCAAGAGGAAGCGTTGGACGTGGATAGGACACACAATACGGAAACACCTACCTGTTTCATAAAACAAGCCCTCACCTGGAATCCTCAAGGCCAACAGAAAAGAGGAAGACCAAAAATCACATTACGCCGAGAAATGGAAACGTTCATGAAAGGAATGAACAAAAAATGGACTGATCTAGAAAGGAAGGCCTAGGACAGAGTAGATTGGAAATTGCTGGTCGGCGGCGTAAATAAGTAATGTACTGAGTAAAAAAATTCATATTGGTAGGGTACAATAATAGATAACTAATGTGAAATTTTCACTTAGTTGTATATCACGCCTCATAAGTCTAGAAATATGTTCCTTATGAAGAAAACAATTAGTTAGAATTATTTACTAAACTAAATTTTCAACTGTTCTTTAAAATGTTAACTTCTACTGGTATACAAAAACAATACAGTTTCTTAGTGAAGTCAGTTAGTCACTATAAGCATTATTTCATATCCAAAAATTTTAATGTTCAAACAAACAATGAACTAGTAATCATCGCAAAAAAAATAATTGCACTTACTGTAACAATTAAACTGTATGCCATTTGACTTTCATGCAATTTATTTCTAAATTCATTGTGTTTTAAATTTGTAGCGTTTCTGGCATTGACAGATTGATTATGATGATTCATATTGATGTGTTGAAATGATCGACTACTATGAACAGGATTTAAGTTAACATTTTTAAATTTCATATTTTCATTTATTTTCAATGAATCCATATTATAATCTAGCGAACGTTTCAATATTAGATCACCGGTGACAGGATCTAATTCAAATAATGATTCAATATTTGTCTGTTCATTTGGTTTAATCTCATATGTTATACGACCATTTTCTTCGGAATCTTCATCAATTGCATATAATTTCGCTATGTATGTTCCCGGTCTAAATCACAGTGGAAATAGTAAAGAAAGGAAGAAATGCAAGTTCATTTTTTACACTTGGATAATAAATAGTATTAGGAATCATTTGCTGTTTTTACTAAAGCTTATGAATTAGGCTAAGGGAAAAGGATGCTTGCTGAAAGTGTACTACCGACGTATGAGTATTTGATAAAAGTTCGTATTACAGATTACCAAGCATTTAGAGAATCGACAAAACTCATTTAGCAAGTTTTAACAGTATGATCCTAGTTTAGGATGTAATTTGAGTTGTCCAGCTGATATGAAACCCGAGACAAAAAGATTTATTGACAAGCACATCACCTTTAGTAGTCTGATAGTTAACACTTCTAGTTGTTAAAGACGTTTAGAATACTACTCGATGGCTATCAACCCTTGATAGTCTGACATCGAATGAAATGTTAAAAATGCATACAGCTTAAAAGTTTTCAGCTTTACAAAATTCACTCCTTTACGCACCTTGGTTTTTTCTAAAGGCTTTTCAACTGATTTTTTTCCAGATTTAAACGTATTTTTAACAGTCATACACAAGTAAACAATCAATGCATTCACATAAGTTTCTTTGTCATTTATTAGCACCGGTAAATAGACTTGGTATGGTACACTAGCTTTGACTGATTAAGTGGCTTAAGTTTTTGGTGTAGATTAATTGATCATGGTGTTTAGTTTTTAAATAACAACGTCCATTCCAAATGTTTCTACGACAATTATCCCTTGTATTCCTGTAAAAAAAACCCTAATACCGAAATATCCAATTAAAGTATATATATCAAATACAAAAACATTAGTGGTAATTAGACACTTTAACGAAACACCAAATCATCAACCTATACATTATCAATGTAAGTCAAAGAAAGATATTTTCACTTACAGAACATTAACATTACCTAGTAGTCAGCTTAGTTAGTTTGTCTATACATAAACAAAAACATTGAAACATTGAAATAAACTATGATAAATGTTTTATATTTTTAGTTGTAAATTTATGCTTAAAACATATATCGAGTTAATTAGTTCTCTCACGACTTATGAAACCGCTTTTAAGATCACTTGTTAACTGATCATAAATTATGAAATATGATATTTGCATTTCATGTTTCTTACTTTAAAAAAAGGAAATAACTTCAAAAAGTAACTCATTATTATAATTAGATTAAATTTTAATAGTTTGAAAAAAAGTTTTCTATTTCTTACGAGCATACTACTTGTTGTAATTACTTTCGGTGTGTTCTTTGTTTTATGTTATGTCTTAAATCAAATGGCTGAAAATGAAATGTACTGACACAAAACATTTAGGCATCTTCAAAACTACAATTTTTTTGTTAAGCAGAGAAAACCGGTTTTATTTTTACATTTGTACAGATATATTCGAATCGGACGAAACGTGAGTCCAGGGTTCCATTGCTAGCCACTATCTCATGGGTGCTTATAATTACAGTTATACAATTTATATATGTAACTAATAAAATTGAAACGAATCGAAATTTATGATCATCGTGTTCATTAAACATCTAGTCAAATCACAGTTTATTCAGTCGCAAACCTGTTCAATAGATTTCAAAGAATATAATTTCAAATTATTAATCATAAGGCTTAAATGTGAATACAACCTCAGAATCAATTTATGAATTGAATCTACATTCAAATGATTGAGTGAATTCCATGCAAACCTGTTATAAACACATATTTCACTCTCCAATAATTAAAGATTCATGTATTTTCTGGAGAAATTTAGAAGTTGTATTCAATTATGGTCATTTGAAACGTTTAATTAAAGCAAATATCGCTGCTGATGAGTCTCACACCAGAACAAAACGGCAGTCTGGTGCTTACGAGCTGCCAAAAGTGGTCTAAAATTGAACAATTCATGATTCCAATGAAACTAAATGATCTATACAACCCTGTAATAACATACATTTCCGTCATAAAATTTTATGAAGTATTTTGAAAAATATAGAAACATCTAATATTTTCAATTTAATGATATATTTAGTTATCATTAAATTATTCTGACTTCAATGTAAAACAACGATCCCTATAATGCCCTCCATAATGTAAAATTCAAAGATTTGCTCATTAGTGACAAGCTGTGTGAGGAAGTTGTCGGAATTCTAGTGAGTTGACGTGACCATTGGAGTTCCACCCTGTCGGATATAGGCAACGAGTGAGGAGGTTGCGCAAAATCCCTATAATGACTTGCGTTAGACATCAACACCGTTGGATGACAGCCCAGTGGTCTAGAGATTAAGCGTTTGTGCGCAAGATCGAAGATCCTGATTTCGAACACTGCTCGTAGCTGGAGTCATGGAAGCGCACTGCTGATGAGTCCCATACCAAGACGACGAAAATCTCCATCCAGTGCTTCCAAATTTCTTATAGTGTTCTAGAATGGTTCACACCATATCATAAAGTTTATAAATAAAATGTTGATAGAGATCATTTTATTATTTAGGATTTAACCTCATTTTATCATCATACATCAGGTAACCTTATTCTCCGTTTTACATGTACATGTACATAAACAAGTTTGGTAATATTTTCACAATTAATTTTTTTTAAAAACTAACTTCTATACACAACATCACCCTAATAATCACACAGTAATAAAATGAAGTTTTTTTTTTTTGTAGTAGATACTCTGACATTTTAATGAAAATCATTATATTAGAAAGTAGATACGAAACTAGTAGAAATGTATGCCCTCTATGGGTCATTTAACATATGTATGTATCTGTGTATCTAAATTGAAGTGGGGCAAGCAAAAGAAATTTCGGTATAATGTTGTAAGAGCAAAACCACACCAAGTGTGAAAAGGTTAACTGTTCTTTATTACGTGTCTATCAGTGTGGTTATTTATTTAATAAGGTCATTTTTCTTCAGTGAAATGTTAGAAATCAAAGTGATATATTATTTATGAAAACGAATAACATAACTTATTATACATATTTATTTGAGGCAATTCAGTGAAGAAAATTTCCCGTTCGACGATTTTATTTACTTAAGTTGATAGTTAATTTTATTTATTACAATAATTATAGTCTTTAGTTAAAATAAAATGATATGAACTAGTAGTAATCATAATCAATATTCATAAGAAGAAGGCTAAACTTCACATGATATCATGTCATGCATTGTTTACAAAAATTAAATCAAATCAAATCTCGACAGGAAGTTACATAATGATCGGCTAGTGAAAGTTTTCAAAGGTAACGATTCATTGTCTGTCCAGTTGATATCATTTTTATCTATTAGAGAATAGATTAAAGTGAAAGTTATTGTAGTAATGGCTAATGATAATAGGCGTGAAATAAATGGAACAGATTAAGAATAATCATTCATAATTGAAAAGTCAAGTAAACAAATATGCACACCCGAAAACAACAATCATAAAAAGCCATAGATGATGGAAAGGCTGAAAGAAAGTTTAAGATCACGGACAAGAAAGCTATTGAATATACTGTTTCTGAATGCAAGGGTTATTAGTCATGAACTGGTAGAGGACAGAAACTCTCCGGACTGTATGTAAGATTTCGAAGTAAGCTATTGCTGAAGCCAAATTATCAGAATGGACTGGGTGTTCCCAAAATGAGTTTTTGATTGACTAGTGAAGGCTTTTAGAAAACGCAGCAAGGTAATGTTCAGAGATGCTTTTCGGAAGAGCTCGCTTTGTTTGACCAATACACCGACAGATACACATTGATTTGGCTCAAAGTGCGAGCATGTCTTTCACACTATCGCTATGCTATCAACAGGAGGTTAAATTTTTCAGTTTCATTAGACTATTCATTGTGGCGTATTCAATATTGTGAAGTCTCCGATACACAAAAAGTAAACTCTATTTCTTGTTCCTTGAACTTTGTTGACTTCTTCAGTTGGTGTGATCATTTGACAAAAACTCACACTTGGTTAGTTACATTGTTTTGAGAATGTTTCAACTGCTTGTGTAATCAAATTAAATATTTACTTGATTTCACTATTCAACCATTCGATAATCCAAAAACCCTCTATTCCTTTGAACAATAAACTATTCAGCTTGCCATCAAAATTTCATTATATATATATATATATATATATATATATATACATATATTCGGTGAGATACATTTACCGATAAATGTTTATATTAGACTTTAAAAGCATAATTGCAATTAAATTTTCTTACGTAACTGTTAATTCATTATTATAAGTTTTTATAAATCTATTCTGATTGTCATAAATCAAAATATGCATTACCATGTTACAGTGAAGTCTAGAAACTGTTAAAATATATGTCATCTTTTTTTCTAGTTATCCTGTGTATCGCAATTAATTTGTCTAATGGGATAAATCATGAATCGATCAACATCAAAACACAACTAGAAACCTGGAAGCACTAGAAACCCATCTCTTCCTGATATAGGACTCGTGAGGACATTTCTCCGAGTTCTAGTGAGAAGTCGTGACCAGTGGAGTTGAACCCTATTAAAGTGTAAAGCAATGCTCACCATAGACAGTGGATGAGGTTGCCGAATACCGATGATTGATCGAAGTTTGACATTAACACTGTTGGATACCGACTGAGTAATGTACAGGTTAAGCTTTCGTGTGCAAGACCGAAGGCTCCGGGTTTGATTCTCGCGAGTGAGCGTCGCTATAATGAGTCCCATACAAGGACTGAACGGCCATCCACTGCTTCAAAGGTTTTTAATGCTGATCTAACACTGATCGATTCATGATTTTCATAGTAACTCAGAAAATCTCCACAAACCTATAACCAAAATATTCTGTAACACTTATTGAGAAGAAGAATATTTTAATATTTCAGTAATAAAATGTACTGCATATATACGACACATTTTGTTGATTTTCTTATCATATATAAATTAATTAGGATTGCACAGAAGACAAACAACAAGTGCACTACTTTTCTAGCTGTCCGATAAAAGATTTATTTCGAATAGGTGTAAAGTATAATTCAACATTTTAAAAAAATCAAATTATCATAAAAACAATTCTCAGTGTTTTTAAGTTTTAAGATTTTTCTAAAAAAAAATGAAAACAATTCACGAAATTCATATATCAACTCCTTTTGAAGCCATTCTAGTATTCTCGTCGGTGCCAAGCCCAGATAAAGAAAGAGGGTTGGTCATGGGGTTAGTGACCCCATCCCATAGAAATTCAACTCTCTAAACGACATTAACCAGAAATAATAGTTCACTGGTTGTCATCCTAAGCTCCATTAGGGGTATTAATGTACTAATTATTCGTTTATGAAAATCTTACTTCATAGTAAAGAACATGTGTTTGTCAGATATATGACCTATTCAAAAAAATAATGATTAATCTCTTCAGTTTTCCTTTTTCAACAATTTGTAAAGTACTAAAATAACATAACTTCTAAACTTTCTGTTTACTTACCAAGTATTATCAAACATCAATTGTATTATATTCTTTATAGATTACATGTAACATGCTTTCAATGAAACATTTCTTATATTCATCAAAATTTTAAATAATCAATTCCTTTTTCAGATATTTATATTGATATATTAAAAACAATTCCTTAGAGTTGTAATAAAAATTGAACATTAAACTGCATGTAACAATTCAAACAAACATTACGCTTGAAAAGTGTTCATTAGGTCAAATAGTAAGATTTTCATTTTATAGTTTAGTGTATGATTCACATAGCATGTATCCTTTAATCGCTCACAGTTTTAAAGATTATGAATCATGTTTAGTTTCGTGTTAATTACTTTGTGTTAAAAATGTATGTATCGTTTATCGTATTGTATGTTAGTCGTTCATTGAGATACATTATGTCAGTTGGCTTATGTAAATGTATAATCATCACCTTTCCACATATTTACATCAATCCAGACTATAATTTGCACATTACACATATGTGTAGTAGCCCAAAGGACTATTTCAGATGGTAATTGTAACCTTTAAACTAAACCATCTGATAATGAAATGTTTTTTATCTTTTTCAATAATATGTATAATACCTCGTTCAAATGGACGTGAGCTTTCTGACTGTTCCACGATCGTTAGATTAAGCCGTGCTGATGACGTTAATTATAGCTGGTTATCATTGCAGGTCATATTGTCATCGGCATCCACATGTTCCTGGTTGGTTCATTGAACTTCTGATATCATAATCAGTTGACTTTTTCCTAGTATGGAGTTATAATTCAAACTTTTTCAGATTTGCATCACTCAGAATTTGACGTTTTGCAATTTTATTTTCCAGTCGAAAGTTTGTACTAAAATAAATGATACCATATCGTGTCTTTTTCCTGCTAGTTTACGTTAATACACAAGTTGGTAATGAGGACGTCCGATGTACTTATGTACTTATCACATACATTGCAGAAAGCACCCAACTGCATCACAAGACAAGCCGTCATTTGGAATCCCCAAGGCCAAAGGAAAAGATGAAGGCGAAAGAACGCATTACGCCGACTTACGAAGACGAATATGAGAAAAATGACAAAAATATTGGATAGGGCTTGTAAGGGAGGCCCAGGACAGAGTAAGTTGGAGAATACTGATGGGCAGCCTATACTTTATTGATAATAGGATAACAGGCAAAAGTAAAAATTGGTAAGGGTATTACACGGATTTGAAGAAGTGCTAAAGTTTATAACTTTTAAAAATAGTGGCACGAATCATATAAGATTGGTGCGAAGATAATGTTTTATTATTGACAATCGAACATACATGAATTTTTTTATCGTAACAAATTACAGCTGACCGCCTACGATAGTGAGATTATTCTATTATACAATCATGATTGTTGGCATAGAACAGATCACAAACAGTGACCAAAATCTTTACTGATGTACAGTAGTTCACAAGTTAATACCACTGTATATAAAAACTGAGGATCAAAGAATATCAGCATCTATCGCCGTAATTGTGACTTAAAAAATGAATACAATTCATTCATTTTAGAAAATATCTAAGATATTTGAAATAATTCAAATAAAATGCGGGAAAAAATGTAAACACAAGCATACGTTTATGAGTTTTGAAATGATTTCGCAATAATTATTTAAACGAAATAACTACTTTCTTTTTTTTTATCAAAATGATTAATGAATTTACTTCCAAAACAAGAAAAATTATTAATTTTCATGGATTTTTTAAAGGCAATATTTTAAAAATGATTTACACTTGACAGTATATTGTTTATATTTCCTGTATGTGACTCGTTTTTTTTTTGGAAAAAAAGCAAATTAATGCGAACCGACAATTTTTGTAAATTTAAATTACCTCCAAAATATTATGGCGCATTTTTTTTAAAGCTACATGAAAAGTCAGAACAGTGTTCTTTTTATTCATTGACATTTGATCATATCACATCACCAGTAAACATTAATAAAAACAAAATGAAATTTTTAAAATGACTAAATGTCTTAACAAAAAAAAAAAAGAAATCAGTTTTTTTTCCAATGATATCAAAGAAAATTCCTTGAATTCATAAATCTTAAAATTGCCTAACTTTTTTATTGAAATGAAAGATAACTAATTTGATCTTTCCACTTTTATTTTTTTTCTAAATAATATTAATATATATATATGGGTATATTATGATGGATGAACTTGTCTATAAATAGTTTTTTTCATGCTCCTCCTGACTATATATACACTAATGCGCAATGCGCATTAGTCTCACTGAAGTTAGGATCATTTGACAGTTATCATTAGTGTAATTAATAATTGGACTCACTGTATTTTGCGCATTTACAATTTCAGTAGGACGGAATTACGAATGAATAAATATTGAATATATAAGGGGCCTTAATTGTTAAATTAAAGTAATCAGTATATATATATATATATATATATATATATATATAGGATATGAAATTTAGCCTATATAATGACAAAATCTATTTGTCTAATCTATCTCTCTCTACCATGGTTGAGAATTGTTAAATGAAGCGTGTGTTTTAATTAATGACAATAAAACTACATTGAATGTAGTTAGTTTTATTGTCATTAGTTCAGTTCAAAAAAAAATTTTTTTTTTAATAAATTTAGACAAATTTCTTCAAATTATTATTATGCATGGTAATTTGTTTTGCATTCATTTCGGTAGCTGATTCAGATGTGAATATTTTGGTGTTGTATTTAATTTCTAAAACAAAAAAAATTATTATTTCAGATATAAATTTATCCGATATGATGATTAAATTAAATATCATTTGAAAAATGCTTCCATTTTAAAGACTATTATCAACTGAAAAGTCAATGGAAATCGAAGACCAACAGACAGGTATCTTGAATGATTAGTGTAAAGAGTTTGTGGTGATTGTTGATTTTCTAAGAGCGATATTAAAGGCTGATCTTAAATAGACAACCGTCGATGCATGACGGTGTATGGCTTCAGGTAGACTGAAATTTATGCTAATGATGCTGATTAGTAGAAGAACAATGAAATCATCCGAACCAAAACATCCAGCTCACAGAACAAAACTCCACCAAAGTGCATGACGCTTTATCAGTAAGCATCCATTACCACACTGAGGTATCGATCCAGGAGATTAAATTATCACATCTAGTGTTTAATCACTCAATCGTGAAGTGAGAATCCATTGGTTGACAATTTTCGCTTCTCATTGACTTGATACTTTTCACTAATGAACATTTATGACTGAATTTGTGATGTAATGGAAAAATCAAACACAGTTACAACTGATGATTAACTTACCTCTTACATGATATTTATACATATACATATATTTATAGATATCATTATACTGATGTACTTACTTTGTTTCTTTAGGTACATAAACAGTATTATTACCAATCGACGGAAAAATAAATCTGGGTGTATTATCATTCACATCTAATATATGTATTAAAACAATTGTTGTCGATGATAATTTCGGTGTACCTTGATCTTCCACACGAACTGTTAACTCGTACAATGGATATAATTCACGATCTAATTTCGATCGGCCTAAATAGATTTGTCCATCTTTTGCAATGAAAAATCTGGAGCAAATTAATGATAGGAAAAATTGTTTTAACAACGCATTACAAACGATAAGAGATGTAAATAAATAAAAAGCCTACAAACAATTAATAGTCAGTTTTTGAACGAAAAACAATTCTTTTGACAGAAGATAGTGTTGTCTTATTGATACCATAGTAGGTTATTTCATATTATGACTTCATATTATGACACTTCAATGTTCTGCATTTATAGGGTTTTGGAGATTGATGAATTACTTTGAAAAAATGGATCGATAAACATTGGACCAGCATCAGAAACCAGAAAGCGCTGGTCTGCTGTTTCTTCCTTGTATGGGACCCGTTGGCAGTGTCTATCCACGACTCCTGTAACTAGCAAGATCGATTCAGAGGTTAAGTGTTCGAGCACGCAAGACCGAGGGTACTGGGTTCGAATGCTGCGAGTAACCGGAGTCGTAGGTGCGCACTAAAAAGCCATGCAGTGCTTCCATGTTTCGAAAGGTGGTCTAAAATTATTCAGTTAATGGTTTCAAATTACTTGAATCTTCCGTTCGATTTTGAAACGTATGAATGAAATTTTTAAAATTCTTCTAAACAGATTAACGTTAGCATCACATTTAATATCCTCCACCGACAGTTCTTAAAGTATGGTCATCGTGACACTTTTATTTTGTTTGGTTAAATATTCTGTAGTCTACAAAAAATGTCTAGGATCCACTGGTCAGATACCATCAACAACAACCTACTGTGGGAAAGAACAAACCAGATTCTATTGGAGGTGGAGATCAGGAGAAAGTGCTGGAAGCGGATAGGACACGCTATTTTGGAAAACATCCAACTGCCTCACAAGACAACTCCTCACTTAAAATCCTCAACACCATAGTAAAAGAGGAAGACCAAAGAGAACAGACAACAGTTGAACAGAATTAGAAAAGATAGCCCAGGACAGAGTAGGTCGGAGAATGCTGGTCAACTGCCTATGCCTCAATGGAGGTAACAGGCGCGAGTAAGTAAGTCAGTAAGTTTATTACTATACATATAATCCTAAACACCAACCAAATTCATTCGAGATCAACTGATCTAGTTCTCAATGATGCACATACACATTAACCACCACAATCGATCATTTGTTAAGTACAACATCTACAGAGGTAATGGTATCACTACATCACGTGACATTGCTGATAATACTTAGCTGTACTTCTCGTGTATTTTCTTCATCAAGATTCAGCATTCAATATAAAATGAAATCACAGCAACTGTCAATCAACATTTCATACGAGTTGAAAAAATCAATACGATCTCCTTCATTTACAATTAAGAAGTGTACTTATTTAATTACTTTACAGCTATAAAATGATTTTTAATTTTAATTTTTCGTAAAAAGAAATAACGATACGTGTTGATCGTGTTCTCGAAAATTTCCCTATATATGTATATGATATTATCAATAATTTTGAATTAGTTCATTTTTTTCTCAGTCAGAGCGCGTTGTTTGTAAATTTATTTAAAAGGTCAATAAATCTGTTTGTTTTTTTTTGAAACTGTCTATCTTCTATATTCCAATAAATTATTGAATCTTTTATCTATTTAAAAAAATCAAATAATTCAATAATTAAATTTAATTTTTCTCTCTCTCTCTGATTTAATTAAACAAGTGTCACTCATCTATTCATGAAATAGGTAGGTAGGTAGGTACGTGATAAATGGTAGAAACAAAGTTATAGGGATGATAATTTCGAATATGTTAAGTTATCGTGTGCAACAACTACCACATGATAATTGGGATGTACTACAGTAAATCGTTTTTTTAGGAGATTGTAGTGAACATGATTTTAATAATAGTTCATATAGTTTTCGCTGATTGTGGATTTGAAGATGACTGGCTAAATAAAATCCGCTAGTGACGCTAACTCGTCGTTCATTATTTAACTGATACTAGATTTGAATGCCTATTATTTTTTATAAATCTATGCGTAGAAAGTTTTTATTGTGATCATATGAAGTCGTGAATATCGGCAATTTACGTATATTTTGTCAGAGTTTGTGTTGATGACAGACTAAATAATGAAAATAATGTTTAGTTATTAAATTAAATGGTTTATGCACAATAAATTTACAAATAAATTTGAAGTTGGCTCACCAGCTTTCTGTACTTTGCTTCACCTTGCTTGTAACTTTTTCGCCTAAGTATGATATACGAAAATTTACAGGGAGATTAATTCCATTGCATACTTGACCATCGGCCCAAAAATCAGTCAAATCCCGAGCCATCAAAGTGGTGAGCCCTACTTTGAGTTCAATATTGCTACTGAAAATTATTATAAGTTTTCACTCTTAGTGAATAACACACCAGCTATTGTGATTATGTAAACTGTCAATTCAGTATCAACAACTGTTCTACACTACATTGATATATGTATAACAGTGATTCTATTAATAATTCATTTATGTTCACTTTATAAATGACTTTTGTTCTATGACGGATTGAAAAAAACTCCTTATGTGCAGGGTCATTTCTGGCATTGCGATAAGTTACAAATCATACAATATTTGTTAATGATTGTAAATGATCTGCTTGAATGAATCTACGCATTGATTCAGCAGTTATTCAGATAATATAATGCGATTAATGATAAACAAAAATTGCATTTTAGATATTTTTCTCATTACAAATCATGATAGCCTATAAATTACTGATAAGTCATTGTGTCACTGTGATCTGATCAACTCAATCAGTCACAGTTTTCTTCATCAATGTCTTGAATATAAACATGTATGGGATCATGTGTATACACCGCTTGTGCATCCCAATATCGAGATGGAAATCTACAAAGCTAAAGCTTAATAAATAAACTAATAAGTTCAACAAACACAGTCAAGAGAATTGTTTACTAGTCTGAAGTAACTGCCTATAAATGTTTGTCTGAACCAATCTAGTAACATTCTCATACGCTTGAGTTGTACAAATTAACACATTAAAACTACAAACGCCCCCTTAATCTTTTTTCACCTTTTGAAAATATGCAAACCTTCATAAATGTTTATGTTGAATATAATCTACATGATGACATCAATAGAATTATAAAGTTTGGAAGATAGCGCTAGTTAGCGTGCTTCAATTTTATTTTCAGCCTTATGAATGAAGTTCTGTATGTGTTAGCGTTTAAGTAAACAATAAAGTGAGAATATTGCTGGTTTGATTGATTTGATGATTTATTATCCTACACCGAAGAACCACAATCGTAGCAGAATAATCATTTTAAAATCATTTAATTGATGAATTTTTTAACTCTAACCAAAAGCTTGGGTACAGATGGACGATTTGAACTTTGTAGATGATCTAGCTCTTCTATCGCACACGCAACAACAAATGCAAGAGAAGACTATCAGTTCGGAAACAGCCTCAGCAGCATCAGGTCTCATCATGCACAACCGAAAAAGCACAAATAAAATCACGCTTGACGGAAAAGCTTCAGAGGATTTAAAAACCTTCATATATCTGGGCGGCATCATTTATGAGCAGGACGAACATGGTACAGATGTGAAGGGTCGGATCAGCAAGGCAAGGAGAGATTTTCTACGGTTGAACAACATCTGGAACTCCAAACAACTATCAACCAACACCAAAGTCACAATTTTTAATACAAATGTCAAGACAGTTTTACTGTATTGTGTGGATTCTTAAAGAGCCTCAAAAGCAATCATTTAGAAGATAAAATTATTTAATAAAAGGTTTTCTACGCAAACATCATCAGCAACATCCTATAGTGGGTAGAATAGTAAAGATTTTAGCAGAGAAAGAAATCAGGAAAAAGCGCTGGGAGTGGATACGACAGCAATTGTGTAAAGCACTCAAACAGGTCACAAGACAAGCCCTCAGTTGGAATGCTTGAGGTCAAAGGAAAATATGAAGACCAGGGAAAACATTGCGTCGAGAATTGGAAGCAAAGGTAAAACGAATGAACAGGAATTAAACAGAACTAGAAAGGAAGGCCAAGGACAGAGCAGGTTGGAGATTGCTGGTCGATGGCCTATGTTTCATTGGGGGTAACAGGCGTCAGTAAGTAAAAACTTATAAACACCGATGTTGTTAAACGTGCTTATTTTGAGATGGCGGATGAAATTTGTAGCCCATGTGGATCATTTCAGTGAAGTTTTTTTCTCTGAGCTGGATATTTCTATTGTTTTACATATCTGAAACAGGTCATTTTGAATAATCTTAGCTCAGTTATTCTGGTCTTTTATATGGTCGTCTGCGGTGAATGCCTAGATTTATGAAGCTGTAGTCACGTGGATTAAATCTGTTTCTCTTCGTCAAAAATCAACTTTAATTACACTAAACCTAGTGTGGTACTGATACATTATCTTAATTGGTAAGTACAATTGAATAATTGCATTACGGAATTGTGAAGAATGTTAATTTGCGCATTTGAAATCACGAATCGATCAATGTTAGACCACCATTCGGAAACCTGAAAGCACTGAAAGACGATCATTTCGTCCTGGTATGAGAATCATCAGCAGTGCACATCTATAACTCATGCACGTCGCAGAATTCAAACGCAGGACGAAATGGCCGTCCAGTACTTCAAAGTTTCCGGATGGTGGTCTGAACATTGAACATTTTTTTTATTCTTGCATATCACTTACGTATACATAATTTCAAGAGATTGTGAGAAATTTTTCTTATTGTTCACATAATTTTCATACGGTTCATGAACTGCACTATCGGAATGATTGACAGTTTTTAATCCATAAGCAATGCATTGAATTAGAGTAAAAGTGATTTCAGCATTTCGACCAAGATCTGCATCATGTGCCGTGATTTTGCCAATAGCTAATGCTAAAATTGAAATAAATTTTTATCAAGAAAAAAACAAAATGTGAAGTTCCAAAGAATCATTGAATATATATTTCTGGCATAATACTTGCGCGGTAATGTGGTATTATATATTTATATATGGGATGTAACTAGCAGTGGAGTCCACCACACATCAGTTACATTTACACGGAATCCAGTATCGTTATTCACTGCGAGAATCGAATCCAATGCGCGTCACTTTAAACCATTACAAAAAATAACTCGAAATGCGATATATATTTCAAACAATGTACAGATCAGATAATAACTTTTGAATATATATGTATATATCGGAATATATATGTTTGTTAACAACTGAGCTAGGAAAAGACTATGACAGTCACTTCGATTCTTGTGAGTAGCAGAAGTCGTAGATGTACACTGCTGATAAACCCCATACCAGGACGAAACGGCAGTCCAGTGCTTCTAGATTTCTAATGGTGATCTAACACAGATCGATTCAATCATATGTTGAAAGTGGTTTGCATACAATAAGCTTTATAGGTTGTTTGATAAGAATTTTATGTACGATATCTCTCAGGATTAAAAAGGGGAAGAAGTAGCTGAATACAAAAGGTGAATATACATACTGCGTCATTTAGTTTTAAATAAATTTGGAAACACAATTTAGACAGAATAATATGAATTTTTCATACTTAGAGGTTTCTTGTCAGCTGCTTACACCTGTTCATGTAATCAAGGGTTGCACTAAGTTATGTATATTGTGAAGGAACTGGCTTTGCTAATGGTAACGCTTAGAGGAACAAAAATTGACATATATATCCACATGAACAGCAGTGGGGTCATGTGAAGACAGAGTTCGAAAATCATGCGAAAGAGATGGCCCGTTGGGAAAATGATACCCCGAAACAGATAAAATGAATAGTATGTTTGTGATAAAAGTTATGGAGATTTCGTATAATTTTTGGATAGTTTAAAAATAAATGTCGAACATTACGAGCAGTGAGGTAGTAATTGTCTAGAATAAATAATTCAACACTGATGTCTTAAGTCGGTGGTTTAGACAAATTTATGAAACAATGATTTTAGTGCACATGAAACAAAAAATTAGTTTAGCGAATGTCGCTTAACACATAGAACAGCAATATATATCATGCAGATGTTTATATCCAATCAATTTAACTAAGTAATCACTAAATTATATATTTACACTCGTATACAACTATATGCACACTAAAGTTACGCAAGCAATTTCATGAAAAATAATTTTTAATGAAATCATGAATCTATCACTGTTAGACAGCCATAAGGAATCTGGAATCACTAAACAGGCGTTTCTTCCTAGTATGGGACTCATCAGTAGTATGTATTCCGCACGCGGGAATCGAATCCAAGACTTTCGGTCTTCAGAGCAAACTCTTAACCGCTGAGTCGGTATGCACCAGCGTTAATTTCTAGCCTCATTACTTCAGTTCATTAAATGGTGCTCGAATATACCTGAGACATTTTTTATGTACCGTTGAAACGAAATTCGATTATATTTCTGTTGACGAAATTAACCGTTAACTCGTTTTTACATAATCCATACTTCATATCATACGAAACTTTTGTGAGCGACCAGCGCTATCATACTGATAATTTTCTCAAAATAATCAATAAATAAATTATTCGAAAAATCTACTACACAAAGAACAGGCTCCCACTAAAGAATACATTACATTTTATATCTAGTTAAATTGATAGTATGAATGAACGAATATGATTAGCATGATTGAGTGAGATATATGTGAAGTAGCACTCATTACTCCGTAGTTACTTCGCCTAAACCCTTTTGATAAACAAACTATCTAAAACTATTCAACTGTAAGGGGAATATTTAAGTAGTTAGTTAAAAGTACTCCAATGACTACATATTAGTTCATTTAAATGTATTTCCATTTCACTATGTTCCGTTGACTACGTAACTAGTTTGGAAACAGTAATCTGAATTGTTTTATTAATTGACGTATAAAAATATAATCATTGCCATTATATCTGGCCCTTCGTAATGACGGATTAATCTTAAGTAGGTTTACGAAGCAACATTATTTAAACTCGTAATGTACTCTGTTTTTTTTCAATAAGTGACTAAAGGCACTTTGATTAGTTTGTGATATTGTAGTGAGTAGATTTTGTTAACACTATGAACCGACAATGTCCTTAAGTTTCAAGAACAACGTAGTACCGGTTAGGAAAAAGTATAGGTTTAAAACTTCATGTCTAGTTCTTCAACTCACTCAATACCATTCTGATATCAACCTACTGTGAAATAACAATCAAACATAACACACATATTTTACTAGCATTTATACTAAACCGTTTTTCAGACAGAAAAGTTCTGTTAAATGAAGTTGAATAAAGGATAACAGTGGCGTTTCAGTGTTAGTATTTACACAAAGACTCAAAGATGATGTCCATCAGCCCATAAATCAAGTATAACCAACTGAACCACTGAGTTCTGGTAACCACTTGCTTGTTTGAAGGTTATAAGCTTTAATGTTATGGATTAGAAATGAAATTCAAGTCAGTTAACTTTAGAGAAGGAAGCAGTGTGATACTAAAGCATGTAACTTATGAGTCACAAATAAGATGAAAAGTCCACCTTAAGACTCGGTGACGGAAACAGTTCAAGTTTACCGAATACTCTTCAACTACCCAAAATTTGCACATATGGAAAACGACAATTGGGAGTTCAACCTTCAAACACCAACAACGAAAAGATGAAAGCTGTCTATAAATAGAATTATTGTTAATTTATAAAGTGCAACTTGACTTAAATGAAGTGAATTCATCGTAAAATTAATTAGTTTTCATAGATTAAAGAGTGGTAGTGAAAACAGTTTTTCCCAAAACTTCATGACAGTTGTGATTTTTTATTCGAAAAACTGATTTTTGCGTTCAAAGAAATTGTTAAATCTTACCGTGCAATAAGAATATCATTGAAGTCATGAGTCGATCGATGTCAGACCACATTTGGAAATCTGGAAGCATTAGACAGCCGTCTCACACTGATTGATTCATGATTTCAATAAGTAAGCCAACAATCTCCCCATAATGTAATTACCTGTGATCACTAGTGACTAGCTCACTGAGGAATCTTCTTCGAGTTCTAGTGAGAAGTCGTGACCACTGAATTTCAACCCTGTTCGCAAAGACAGTGTGTGAGGTTGCACAAGACCGTGAATTATTAGGGTTAGACACTAACACCGTGAGTTGGGGGGGTTATGAATGAGTCCCTTACCAGGACGAAACGACCACCCAGAGCTACTAGGTTTCTAATGGTGATAATATAACATTGAACGATTCATAATTTTAATAAGTAACTCAACAATCTCCACAACCCCATTGAGTAATTGGAATATTCATCTAATTTCATTGCATCGTTTCTATTGGTTGTCTTACTAAGATCAATAGGCAATGCAATCTATGAAATTTCACAAAGATTCTATAAAACTTATCAATGTTTTTGATACTGTGCAAAAAATGTGAGCACAACAAAATGAAACAAAACTTACAGGCTGTATGATTTTCGAATACATAGAATTCTATTTTATTCAATATACTCGGTGGATTATCATTCACATCTTGTATAGTGACTGTGACATCTGCAGTAGAATTTAAACTTGGCATTCCGTTGTCTGCAGCATGAATTCGAAAACGCAATTCATTGATCGTCTCTCTATCTAATAATTGTTGTACTGTTAGATAACCATTAGCTTTATTAATGTCAAAATAATTAGCATCTTGTCCACTTAACCAAAATGACAGTTTGGCATTTTCACCTGGGATTATCAAAGTGAAATAACAGAGAACAACACATTAGAGATCAGATATTTAATTAATTACAAAAATTATATACATATATATTCTTTGAATAGTTCCGTTAGTGCAGTTATAATTAAGAAGAATACTATTACCGGATTCGAAATATTTCATGGAAAACATATACTTATCTAAGAATAACAGTTTTTAACAAGTATACGTTCAATTTTTAAATGAAATGAATAGAATGTGACTAACAATGGAATCCAGGACGTGTCTTTTGCACTAATGGGAACTCATCTATTAGATCTACGCGAATCTTAGAGTTGATGTTCAGTCTGGGACTTGAATCAAGTACCGCGTGCTTTTAGTCCGTTTCAAATAATTTTCCACAGGATTTCAGTTGTTGTTAAGCATTACCTCGAATATAGTAATAGGAAGTGAATTAGTCGAGCGTGTAAACCGCTTCACATATCTCAGGAGTCTCATCAGTGCCGATGGCCTGGTGACTGACGAAATCTCAGCACAGATACAGAAGGCCTGACTGCCTTTCGCCAACCTGCGTCACCTATGGCGCAGGCAAGACATCAGCCTGCTAACCAAAGGACGAGTGTACTGTGCAGAAGTTCGCTCCGTCCTACCATACAGATGCGAAACATGGACGCTAATAGTAGAAGATACTTGTAGGTTCCTGTTATTCGATCATAAATGTCTCATGTATCGTGGGACAACCGAGTAAGCAATGCTGTTGTTAGGAAAAAATTACTAGTTGGGGGTGGTAAGTAAGTTGATGAAGTATTGAAACTCCATCAGTTGAGATGGTTTGGACATGTGTAATGAATGCTCAACCACTGACTGCTTCGACGAGAAATGTTTTGTGGTGTAGGAGTAGGTTGGAAGAAAGTTAGAGGCGGCCAAACCAAAACATGACATAAATCCATAAAGTCACTGACAAGTGAACTGAGTCATATTGGTAGATCTCGACTACCTGGTCGGGGTCCGCAAGACGAGAGTAACCGATGGTTAGAGACATGAAATGACATAGCAGGTGCACCGACTCTTTGTGTTCTCTCAAATTCTAACCTCCTGAATTCCTCATCATCTCCTTCTCTTTCTAAAGTTGCCTCACTGAATTATACTTCTTGATTAATATATTCGATCCCTAATATTCTCCATTACCAGTAATTCTTCTACTCTCTCCACCACTATGGGATTTGAACTGACAGTGGCTTCTCTGTGCTAATGCGGTTTGGCAACCTGAACTGACGAACGTACATACGAAGTTCTACGTTGTAGTTGACTGACTGACCTCGAATATGTAGCTATCTGTTAAAAGCGAAGAAACTGTATTATGTGAAACACTGGACTAGTAAAACGAAAAATAAATTTGATAGACAGGTCATTGTCTTTCTAAATGATTGAACGTTCCTAATCAAGACATCAATAACTCACTTCGTTCCAACCACCAAAGCTTTTTTAACTTTCCAAATTTCACCCATTATTAATTACAATATATATTAATCTCAGTAGACAAATTACTTTTATAATTACAATAATAACGTATAGATTGTACATATGTATACACAGACTACCAGTGAATAATAGACAGGAAATGATAGAATGTGGATTTTTTTTCTAATAACCTACCTTCATCAGGATCTGTTGCATTGATTTTATTGATTATTGTGCCTAGTTCAGTATTTTCATTGACATTAAAATAATAATGTTTTTGACTAAATTTTGGTGGTTCATCATTTACATCGGATATTCGAACAGATACTGATCCTGTACTATTTCTCGGTGGTATCCCATAATCGGAACATGTTATCCAAACGGTGATTTTTGAAATGAATTCTCGATCAAAACTAGAAGCAGTTGTTAGCTTGTAACTAAAAAACAATAATTCAACATTCATTGCGTTAATTCATATGCTCTAGTAGGGATTATTCGTAAGTTATTAGTATTCCATTATAGGTGTCTTTGAAGGATTGGTTGTATATTCTGGTACAATCGAGTAAGCGATACTGTTGTTAGGAAACGGGTACTAGGTAAGAATGGCAAATCAGTTGATAAAGTAGTGAAACCCCAGTCGAGGTGGTTTGGACATGTGTTACGAATGCCGGAACACCAACTACGTCTACGAGCAATGTCAGCTGATGTAGGGGTAGGTTGGAAGAAAGCTGGAAGCGGCCAGACCAAAGTATGGCACAAATCAATGAAGTCACTGACAAGTGAACTGAGGCGCATTGATAGCTGCAGACAACCTGGTTGCGGTCGGCAAGACAATAGAGAGCCTAAACGGTATGGCTCAAAATCCTTTGAAGTAGTGCAGTTGTATCAATTCTTCACCTTTTCCCAAATTCTGGTCTTTTGAATTCCCCAAGAAGTTTATCATCGTCATTTAAAGTTTATTTTACTGTATTATACTCCTTGACCAGTGTCTTCGAACCCTAATCTTTCCAAATTCTGCCTATAGTTCTCCTACCTCTACTACTATGAGATTTTAGTGGCAATTACATCTCTAAGTGAATGTGATGTGGTAACTTGAACAGATGTACGTACGTAAAAAGTTCTGCATTGTAGCTAACTGACTGACTGATTTACATTTCGCAATAATGTAAATATTTACTCAGTTTTAATAAATAAAAACATGATTTCAATATGATTACATCACGGCCAAATCTTTATCAGTAAACTTTTGAAGGCTAGAAATTACAAGGAAGCTATTTCTCCCAGTACAAGAATCTTCATCTATGTTCATTTTTATCCATGCTATTCTTGCTTATAAAAATGTGAGATAACATGAAATAAAATTTCAAAGTCATTTTCAGATGAAACATAATCTGAATACGAAGAACAAATAATGACGAAAAGGACAGATTCTTTTGGACAGAATATTTAATTTGGTTACGCCTGTTGATTAACTTATTCAATAGAGTCATCTGAATAGCAATAACTTATATGTCCGCTGGCTTTTATGATTGTCGTGTTTGTATGAGCTGGTATTGTAGTGAACGAGAACACAGGTGGGGCAACTGAATTGTATTTAACAGAAATTACAGGGGTACTTAGTAAAATTGGAAAACCACATCGTAAATCGTTCATTTGCAAAATATCAGTTCATCATATCGAACTGGACTGTTCCTGTTGCAAAACATCAATCCATTGTCACTATTCATGCGTTTCATACAAATTCCATTGTTTTCTAACTCTTACTTTCTTGATCTTCCCCCCATCTTCGGCTGCCAGACATTACGTTGACGCTCACGTCATATACTACTTATAAGTAGCTCACACCACAGTATGACTGAACATTGCTTGCTGCCTACCTGTATATTCATCCTACTCGCTATAATGTTAACTTCTTAAATATTTTGATGACTTAGCCATTTTCCTATGTATTTACATGTACAATTTAGTCTTATTAATTCATTCGCCAGTTCGCCCACTCGCCAGCTTGTTTGACTTTCGCTCCGTGTGCCGGTGGTTTGTGGTCTGTCTGTAGTGTGCCAAATAAACATGTTCAACACTTGGTCGCATTCGCCATGTGATTCATAAACCGTGAGGCGCTATTTAGTATCGAATGTCTGGACGAGCAGCATACGAAATCTAAGAACACGTTGGATACCGACAGTCACGAAACTAGTGAGACACTCGGTCACCATACATTAACAGTTGATTTTTGGATTCCATTGATTTCAAAATGTGGTCAAATGAATGAAAAGTTACATGAATAAATCAATATAATAAACTATAGGACACTTCTCTTTAACATATTACGAAATACTTGCAAACTGAAAATAAAAAACATCACAAACTTATAGACTTACATTATAGAAAAAGGCATATGCATTTGTTGTAAACTAAAGAGAATTTCCGTTGGATTTAATAAGAGATTTTCTAATTTCTCTTTATTCTGTGTATCAAATGTCCATTTTCTTGTTTCAGCTAAACGACAACTAACACGACCATTATCACCGCTATCTTTATCTTGTGCAGTGAATACAGCAACTAATCGACCAGGTTTTTCATTTTCTGGTACTAAGGCATAATTTGTTAAATAAGCTGGTTCAAAGTGTAATTCCGGTGAATGATCATTTTCATCTAATACAGTTATTTCTACAATACAAGTTGTACTTCTTGGTAGACTACCTCCATCATTTGCTTCAACAGTTAATATTATCTGTAAGAAGATAAAATAGATTTAATTATGTCTTAATAATGAATGTTTATTCTATATTCAGTATGTACGCATCGTTAATATGTTTCAACGATGTTAAACTGTAGATTGTAATCAGAGTTTAAGCTACCTTCTTAATTGTCCGATGGCATTTATTATTAATGTGAATAATGTAGTGAGTGTCCTCTCATGCCGAGCTCACAAGGGTTATCCCAATACTTCGGACAAAAAATAACTAATCCATTCTACCCGAAAAATCAGGAAGAAACTCTGGAAGTGGATAGGACATATAGTGAAGAAAGCACCCGATTACCTAAGAAGATAACTCCCACTTGGAATCCTCAAGGCCAAAGTAAAAATGGTAGACCAGGAAACATATTACGCCGAGAGAGTAGGTTGGGGAACACTGGTCAGTGGCCTAAGCTCCATTAGGGCTTACATGCGTAAGTAAGTAATTCTACCCAAGATGCTATTCCCTCGTCTTTTGAACTTGTTAACTATTCGCTTTTATCTTGATTGTTCTATTCCAGTATATGTGTGCACCACTTACTTCGCTTATCTCATGTCTGGTTTACGTTTTTCAGACTATAAATGCTTAGTCATGTTTCATCACATGGGAGTTTGCTTACTTGAGTTCTCCCATTTCGCTTCGCTTTGCTTTAACGTTTTGTATTCTCATATATGTCTGCATAAACGATTACTTGAAATAAATTCATCCAACCGAATCAATATTCGGCTTCTTGTTAGAGACATCGCTGAAATCGGGTCTGACTAAATGTAATGTACGGAAACTTAAAGGGATATTTATGTCTAAGCATATTTAAATGTCCGTAAATATAGAGGTCAAGATCACGGATCATTAAAGTGGTGAACCCTTCATCGAATTCAACGCAGCCACAATAATTCGTGAGCCCGACGATGAATATAACGCAACCCAAGAATATGTTTTAATCCTAAGAACAACAATCACTTGTAATATCCTCTATAATTTCAGTACAAAACTGGCCCATTCAATACAACTAAATCAAATGAATAACTAAAACGAGAAAAGTGAGAATTATCACAGTCGATAACATGTCAAAATTTAAAATCATTTCTAACTAAATGTTACACTTGTCAAACTGTTACATCATTTTCTTTAAGTGATTATTATTTTTTTTCATTTATTCCAAAAAATCAATAACTATTTGAATAATTGCATAACAATTAGTGTTTTTCTTCTAAAAGATATCAGTGATTAGGCGAGAAACAGACAAATGATCAATACTAATTTGGCAGATTTTTGAAAATAAAACATTATTTTATGATAACATAAATTGTAGAATGTTTTTAACTTGTAACACTGTCTAAGTAAGTATCAACACTGTGTTCAATAAAGTAAACTTAATCTGATAAGTAAAAAAATATCACTAATTTTACAATGACAACATGTCATTCATTCAATGTTCAATACTGTCTGAAATATTACAGGATGAAACTGTTTTTTTTAAAAAAAAAAATAACTAAACTTATAAAGATTAAACAGATGTCAGACAATCAACTTATTCCATATTTTGAATAAATGAAAGCTGTCAAAGTGCTAAATAAGTGTTTTAATTAAGAATGTCTGTACAACAATACAAAGATGATCATTGTATTTGTAGACTAACTCTAGTTGTGAATAACATACAAATATGGTAATGAATATTAGGGAAAAATAAAGAAATCCTTAATTCCGAGAAATCTTTTTTATGAGTCCATAGTATTTGTCTGCTGAATTCGTCATTTCAATAATTCCTGCTCATTTGTTTGTCTTACCTTAAAACATAACCTATTTTCTTTGACATGGGTACAGATATAAGGGTTTCATTACGGGGTTGTGAAGATTGTTAAGTTACACATTTGAAATCATGAATCAATCAATGTTAGACCGCCATTAAAAAACTGGAAGTACTGGACAGCCATTTCGTCCTGGTATGGGACTCAGAGGTGGTTGGGACATGTGTTACGTATGCCCAACAAGTGACTGCCGCGACGAGCTATGTATTGTTGTGTAGGAGTATGTCTGAAGAAAGCGAAGGGTGGCCAAACCGAAACATGGTACAAATTCATGAAGCCACTAACAATTGGACTGATTCATGTTGGTAGGTGTAGGCTACCTGGTTCGGGTCCGTGACACCAAAGTAACCGATGGTTAGAGACCTTGATTGACATGGCTCAGAATCGTTTGCAATGGAGGAGGTGCATCCACTTTTTGTGTTCTCTCAAATTCTAACTTTCGGAATTCCTCATAATCTCTACTTTACTCCTTCTAAATTTATATTACTGAATTATACTTCTCGAGTCATATCTTCGCTCCCCAATCTTCTCCATTGCTGCTAATAATTCTACTATCGCTACCACTGTTGGATTTGAACTGACATTTGCGTCTCTGTGCTGATGTGGAATGGCAACGTGAACTGGTGTACTTACGTACGAAGTTTTGCGTTGTATCTGTCTGTATGTCTGGCATAAGAGTCATGAGCATTGTGCATCCGCAACTCTTGCACCCTTCAGGATTCGAACCCGGGACGTTCGGTCTTGTGCGCGAACGCCTTACCTTTGGATCACTGAGCCGGTATCTAACAGTGTTAATGTCTAACTTCGATCAATTCATGGAGTTGCGCAACCTCTTCGGTAGTTACTGTTTACACCGTGACAGGTTGAACTTACCCGAACGAAACGGCTGTCCAGCGCTTCCAGGTTTCTAATGGCGATCTAACATCGATCGATTCATAGTATCAAGATATAAAAGTGTGTATACATATTTACACCAAGCAAGTAATGTATTTCTAATAAGATAAAATATTTTGGCGCAAATTTTAAAATTTCATTCATCTAACGATAGAATAAGATACGTCATTGAATTATATCAAGCATTCGTTCTACTGGCAGTGAGTACGTCTAAAAACGAAGCCAATAACTTCATATTAAAACAGTTTCTAATTATTTACGTTATTAAAAATTTGCTAATGATACGAGACTAAATTTAATCAGTCTTAAAATAAGTAAAAAATAAATAAACTAGAGGATTGAATTGTTAATTAAGTTTACCCCCACCGTATACTTAGTTCCAACAGATTTAAATCATTGAACAATGAACTTCAATAAATCCATTGATGCATTTATATCATAGGCGGTTAATTAGAAAAATGCATAACTATACAGAATGAAATTTTTTACATCATACTATACTACTAATCTATGATTAGCAAACTAAATTAATATTTTATGAACAATCAAAATTAACCTACGTCAGAATCATAACTTATTCGGTAAACATATCAATGAAATTACAAGCAATCTTTAGAATAAATCAACACGATATTATATATATATATATATATATATATATATATATATATATATATATCATAAGAATGACACCGAGTATTGGTCTAAAGTTAGTCCAATAAATATATAGTTATGCTTTTTATTAAATGTTATGTTCGTCACTAGGTACGCTTGAAGCTATTACGAGTTTACCTTAGTCGATAAACGCAAACGAGACAATTACCAGAGTCCAGGTAGGCTACCTTGAATCCCAAACCGCAAAACAGAAGACTTGAAAGTACATTCTACAATCGCGCAGCAAGCACAACAGAATCAATCACACAACTCTCGTTTATTTATAAATCATAGAAACGTCCTTGGAACAGTCACAAAAATAGCACACTAAAATACACAGCAGCCAGTTACAGACAAGGATTTTCTTGGTTGGGAATCAAATCTCAAGGTCAACTGATCAGCCCATGTTCGCAAACGTGAAATCCAAATTAAGGCATTTAACAAACGAGTTCTGGAGATCTAACATTCCCAACAGTAATTTACTGCGGTTTATAATTTACAATGAATTAACTGTAACTTGATTTTTGCGTTAAAACTTGTCATGAATTAAATTGTCATTAAAACTTTTTTTCGGTATACATTTCAGAAATGATTTATCAGAGTTTAAGGTTGATCGTTTTTAAAAATAACCGTTTTTTTTACTTCAGGATCGAAAGATTATATTTTTCTTCTTCTATCAACCAGCACATGTTCATTTATGAAATGATAACAACACTTTTTAATTATCAGGGTATTGTCACTTTTAATAATTGTAAATTATTACTTATCATTAAGAAATCTGATGATAATGAAATATTTAAGAAGTGATAGATGAAGCAAATATCATTAAAATTATGGTTGTATAAGTGATATGCCTGCAGCTTTAGCAAGTTCACCTTACTCGATGAACGGAACGAAGATCAACGATGCGTTGAAACGATAGACTATTCTAATCCGATTGTCCCAAGACCCCGCTAACTAGAAAAGTAAGTCTTGATAAGATGTAGAGAGTATATATTTCACAAGCATTCAGAAAATATGAGGTACACAAGCACACAACTCAAACTTATTTATACAATGATAAAACACCTTTGGTGAGAGCTACAAAACAGAGTACTTAAGCAATCCATCAATCAATGGCAGTCATGGATTTTTGAAGTGGGAATTGTAAGCCGAAGGTCAACCAAGCGTCTTTGGCGTGAAAACATAACAATTCAATATTTTAGAAATAAATTACAAAATTAGGACCTTTTCGAAGTGAGTTCTGTGGGTCTAACATCTCCAACAGTAAGATAAGAAAACGACTGAAATTCTCAATTTCACTTCGAAACCTTGAACTGCCGCAAAAGTTAATATACACTTTTGAGAATCCCAAAGTTTCCATCTAACAACAGTTCAGTTTTTTAATCTTTTAGTAGTTATTCCAAAGAAACAAGGCAAAAGAATATCTTTCTGTCCAACTAATTTTCTAAATAACCAAGAGTACTGTCAGAATACCATAGATTATAGTATTTATGGATCATTTTGTTTGCGTATAATTCAAAGATTAGTAAATAAGCTTTGAAGTGAACTTAGAATTCTTAAGCGTTTTTAGAGATTTAAAGCTTACTAATAATAACCTGTTTTTGCTTCATCACGTATAACATAAACCTAGCCTCACAGACAAATGATCGTACTAAAAAGCGTATTATTAGTATTTTATAATAACCGGTAACTTTTAGAGCGCCTCATCCTTTTGAGAAGATTCAGTGTTCAAGTTGATCCCAAACTTGCTGTAATTACTCATATCTTTGTAATAGGGGTTTATGGAAATATCTCTTCATTTCATAGGTAGCATCAGGAACTAATATTAGTTGAATTCCGACTTTCTATTGAGAAATCGTTACCTTTAGAGCGAGTGAGCCACTAACATTGTAGTGAGTTGAATTTAAAGCAACAACACATCAAATTCATCAGAAACTAATTACACGTTATTATGGATTGATAAAATTCAAACATGCATATAATTGAATACCGGCTCAGTACTTTAGAGGTTACAAATTCGAAAACAAAACGGAAGTTTCTAAGTTAAATCGCCTTTGTGAGTGTGAATGCACACTGCTGAGGAGCTCCGTACAAGAATCAGTCAATTCCTTCAGTTTGTACACGTTTTAAATTATTGTTTATTTAGCATCAGTTCATTATATGAACAAAGAAATAATTTCTTTTCATTTTTACTTTTATTATTAACAAAATTATTCACATACTTTCTTGTGTATTTCATAGTCCACTTCCCATTGAACATGTATCCAACCAGTAATTGGATCCAATGTAAATAGCCGTAGAAAATCAGGTTTAGTCAATGAACTTATTCGATATTTGATTTGTGCATTACTTCCTTCATCAATATCAGTAGCTTTCACCTTGAAATGAATAAAGAAATATAAAGTTGTTTTTTTTAAAAATTATTTCAAAATTCAATGGTTTTGACAAAAACAAGATTAAAGTTAATTAGTTGTTTGTTATATAAATCAATTTGATGGCGAATAAAATTAGTCGTCTGATTGAAAACACAATCTACCAAGTGAAATTTTACACTTTTCCATCAAACATCATCATTGACAAACAAGAGTATTTTTGGATATCTTGTCCCACGTCTATTCAATTCATGAGAACACCTAGATTGTGCCATAAATCCGACTTCAATACTCTTCCCTTTTGTTCGTGAATTCAGGGCAGCATTCTGCTACACATCCACCGTCTGCTACTCATAAGCTCCACCGTGGGTAGCACCACACACGACAATATTAATTAAGACTTCTACTACCTATACAGTCATAATTATGTAAACAATAGTTTAAGTTAACAGAGTTAACAACGAAATTAAACTATCGGTTTTTATTGATTAGTTGTGATGTTCAATACTGTTGAACGTAAATTACTAATATTTTCAAATAAAAATTCATCACTAATATATATATATATATATATATATATATATATATATATTAAAATCTATCCTGCTGACTTCTATATTTGTTTGTACTACACAAATACGAAAAACCAATTAACTAAACCATAAATAAACCAGTTCATTATTATATCATCAAGATAATACATAAGACAGATTGATTAGCATACGCATTGCTGTGAATTCATAGGCCACTTGCGGAATTAAACAAAAACTTTACAAAATCTTATTTTAGTTTTGCGTAATAATATTTTTTTTCGAATTGCGCAATGATTTTTTTCTAAAATAAAATGCTAAACGCCATGTCTTGAAAACAAAAAAGGTTTAAGAATAGTAAAACAATAATTAACATTTTCAGTCGCTTTGTTTTTTATGTTCAACCAATTTCGTTTATTTGCTTTTTCTTAAATTTATATTTAAATCAGCCAAATGTACAGACACACACACACACAGATTATGTGTTCATTTGAAATAAATATTGAATAGCCTAAGATTACTATTTTTTGAAGAGATGATACGATACAATTAACTCAGTAAAACCGCAGTCGAGTGATTTGAGGTTTCCGATGGTAGTCTAACATTGATTGATTCCTTCATGATTTCAAAATGTAACTCAACACTCTCAACAACCATATCATATAAATGATATAAAAAAACATCCTTGATAGCATAGTTAATGGGTTTGGAAGTTATGTAAATAAGAAAGACGATACAATGACTCAATTAAGAAATTACGCTCAATTCTTTAGGTATAGAACATCTTTTCCAAGCCAACAATGATGTCATAAATACATTGATTTTATATTGATTTATATCCTCCTGAAGTAGGTTCTTGAATAAATGTCATAAATAGTATTTAAATATTTAATTTAAAGTATAGAATCTGTCATTTCGAATTATCAAACAATTACTCCACATCTACAAACAAACATCAGATGTAATGGTCTTGAAAGTGTGAATTAGTCAATGGATCAAATCTAGATGTACTGAAATACTGTGTATTTCATTTCTTCATTTTTCATCAATAATCAAACTCAAGAAATTCCCTTTTATCTTCACTGAATCAATTTTTTATCCACAGAAATACCTCAATTATTTATGGTATAAATATTAAACCTCAGTTTGAATTGTTCTCATAATCATCTTGATGGTTGTGTTGAGAAGTGACATAATTTCTTCGGACAATACCTTTTTTATAATAAAACATTTTTTCTGTGACTAATGAACATGTATTTCTCAATGTAATAGTAATTAGTTGACATTGATTTCATTTAAAATTTTATTACTTAAATGATAATCCTTCCTGTTGCCTGAGAACAAAGTTTATTAAGACGCCTAAACCACATAGTCAGTGGTTATGAAATAAAAACAACATAAATGGCTCAATCCACACAGCCTCACAATATCATCGATATCAATTTATAAAGTTGAAAACTACTGTACTAAGTTGATTGATTGTAAAAAACTAATGACAATAATAATAATAATAATAAAAAATAATAGTAACAAAAATAGTAATGGGATTTATGGTCGCATAATTTGTTTATAAATCCTATTAGGCGCCATTTGAATTTGTTATTCTATTCTACCGTTTGGTTAATTAAAAGACAATTCGATCCTCATTTTTAAAATTATTAAAATTATCAAGTAAAGTAACAAACATTTATCAATAAAAACGAAATAAACCGAGTAAATTTAAACAGACTTAAAAAAAATTCTGTCAATAAAATGAAAAATACTAGATAGCTATCGCATAATTTTCCTGCAATTAAATGATTTCTATATTTTGTTAAATATGTACAGTTTTTATTCTCGAAATAAATTTCGTCAATGAATTTTTTTCCGATTTTTTGGGCAGGTGAAAAAATGGCTACCAGTTGCTAGGATGCAAAAAATATACACTAGGAAAATAGTTTAAAACAAAACTAATATTTAGATAATATACAAAAGTATTCATCTTGAACTATGTCATTTTTCGATTGGAAAAAAATTACTTCTTTCATCGAGTGAATTTTCTTGAATAAAAATATAGTACTAAATAAATAATATAAAGAGTTGAATATAACTACTTCAAATCATATCAGAGACAGAGGTAGATAAGTGGTATGGTTTAGTTGGTTAAACGTAGTTAAAAGAGAAAATTAACTCTTAGTTCAGTGTCATTTGGTAATTATCAGCAAAGTGTTGCATGAACTTAAAGAGGCTGAGGTTCATCTGGAAATTCTTATCCAGGCTGAAATACAAGAATTCACCTTCTATTCCGACAGGTATTTATATCTTGTAAGACTTAAAACTTATTTTACTGTTGGAATCTGACCACCACTAATGACTAAACATATATGACATGCATACATGACATCAATTAGTGTAGACAAATTCATGCATCACAGCAATCTGTCCTCGGTTTATTTCAATGTTGAAGACAACAACATGAAAATAACATGAACTTACCTCTGGTATATACTCCATATGTTGTATTATTTCAAAATTTTTAAAATTAGACAGGAAGGATTATCATTCAAGTAATAAAATGTGTAATTTTAAATGAAGTCAATGTCAACTAATTACTATTACATTGAGAAATATATTCATTATGCACAAAAGAAATGTTTTATTATAAGAAAGGTATTGTCCAAAGAAATTATATCACTTCTCAACGCCATCACCAAGATGACTTTGAGAACAATTCAAACGGAGGTTTAATATTTATACCATAAATAATTGAGGTATTTCTGTGGATAAAAAATGTGATTCAGTGATGATAAAAGGGAATTTCTTGAGTTTGATTATTTACGAATAGTGAAGAAATGAAGTAATTAGTGAATGATGTTACAGTATTTCAGTACATCTAGATTTGATGCATTGATTTATTCACACTTTCAAGATAATAACATTTGATGTTTGTTTGTAGATGTGCAGTAAGTCTTTGATTATTCAAAATGACAGGTTCTATACTCTAAATTAAATATTTAAATACTATTTATTATAATTACTCAAGAATCTACTTCAGAGGGATATAAATCAATTGGCTTGGAAGAAATTTTCTATGCCTAAAAATTGAAAGTAGCTTTTTTATTAAATCAATTTAATTTTTCCCTCATTTGAATAGCTTCCAATGCAACCCATCGACAGCAGTTCAAAAGATGTTTTGTTATGTCATTTCTACGAAAAAGTTGTGGAGATTGTTGAGTTGCTTTTTAAAATCATCAATCAATCAATGTTGGACCACCATTGGAAACCTGAAAGCACTGAATATCCGTTTCGTCCTGATGTTTGACTCATCGGCAGTGCACATGTACAAACACCGTGAGATACTGCCTCAGTGATCTAGGAGTTAGGATTTCACGCACAAGATTGAAGACCCTGGGTTCAAATCCTGTCGGTTGCAGAGGTTATGGACGCTCACTACTGACGAGTCCTATACCAGGACGAAACGGTCGTTCAAAGCTTTCAGGTTTTTAATTATGGTCTAACATTGGTCGATTCATGACTTGAAACAGTTAACATTATTATTAGTCTAAAAGTAATTTGCACATTATTAGTGAGTACAAGAATATAAATTTATGCATGAATGTAGTAATTCAAATTGTTATGCAGAATAGTGCTCCACAATATCATGTAAACTGATAAATACAAACTGAGGTATTTCAAAGACGTTTAAGGACAACTCGATATGTGTTATTGAGATTGTCTATTACTTTTATAGCATAAATGAAGAAGATTACATGAGAAACATGACTACGGGAAAGAACTTGTACATACTGTATTTATAAGTGTCACAAATGATATGTATTGAAATCTTATATGTAAATATATATACCTATTGTGCAAATTATCAAAATACTTGTAATTCATATTCTTAGTTTATTCCTTTGAAACGACGTCACTGACTATGTTAATGCAATCAATTTAATTAAACCCTAGTGAAGGTCATGTATTTTGATGTAACAAGTCTTTCCTGGACTATAGGAATTAATTTACAGGATAACTCTTAACTGAAGCAATTTCCATTTTTGCATCTAAGTCTCAGTGTATACATGAACTAACTAGATGGCAAGCAGGTAATAAGATGAAACTTATTTCCTTGATCCTACTCACAGTCTCACTCTAAGGAATGAAGTATAAAATTTAAAAGTATATTTGGCGAGAAAAATTGATTAAATCGAGATTAAAGTATCTACACGTTGCAAAATCACAAACTCTTAGGCATATTTAACACTCATGTATAACTAAATAAACCATACAACATCATTGTCAAAAATAATCTATAATACATAGTGTTATACTCTAAAAACAATCAGAATACTACCAGTCTTCAAAATAATAATAATAATTTTGATAAACATTCAAAAAAAGCATTACTTGTATGACTGGTGTATGCGGTCGTGCATTTTCATGCAAATCCACAATATATGTATCTTTTTCAAAAACTGGCGAGTTATCATTAAAATCTGTGATATGAACTTGTAGATTAATTGTTGCATTTCTACTTGGAGAGCCACCATCGATAGCGGTTAGATTATATTCATACAATGATTTTGTTTCTCTGTCCAATGTACCTCGAACAATTAAACGAAGTTCATGTCTCGGACCAGGTGGTGATCGCATATATTGATCAGAGTATGAATGAGCATCATTAGAAAGCGTGTCACCTGACACTTGAATGTTTGTCATTGTAGTATCTCTGTCAAGTGATGTCCATTCTAACTGGAATTCAGGAAATTGTGGTTCAATCACATATTTCATAATATTATTTGATCCAGCATCTTGATCAACAGCAGGTGTTAGTTGTATTGTATCTCCAATGAGACTACTCTCTGAAACGTATACATGCATTACATCCTTGAAACGGAAAAAAATTCAAATGATTTTTAGTTAATATTAAACTATATGATTTCATTCATATAATATTTCTAGGCTTGTTTTACATTTAACGCTATTCAGAATAAATATACACATAGTTTAAAAAGCAGATTAACACTACTTAAATAGGATGTGTATTTTAAGACAGAAATCTGAGAGCTATTTAAAATTTATCACCTTGGTATAACAAAATGTAGTGTCAAATTACTTTTAATAGGTTATGTCAGTATAACTTTACACACATTTACTGCAAGCTAATAGATCTTGTTTTGAGGTAGTGAAGGAAATTTGTAGCTCAGGTGGATGTTTGTGGTGGTGTTTGGTTTGCTGAGTTGGATGTTTTGGTTGTGGAGCTTTCATTGTTCTTCTTCTGAACAACATCGTCAGCACAAACTTCAGATCTTGTTTACCCATCGGCGTACCTGTTCAACTTAAGTAAGAACCATAAATATATACGTGATATCCACACATAATTTTTCTGAAGTTAAAAAAGTGTTAAACCGAAGCTCAGAGACGCCATTGTCAGTTCAAGTCACATAATGGTACAGATTGTAGAAGTATTAGCAGCAATGGAGAAGATAAGGGTTCGAAGATATGACCTGAGAAGTGTAATTCAGTAAGAAAACATTAGAAAGAGAAAGATAGAGATGATGAGGAATTCAGGAGGTTAGACTTTGTGAGAACACAATGAATGAATGCACCTGCGCCATTGCAAATGATTATGAGCCATGTTGTTTAAATACAGTTACAAACATAGATATGATTAGTTTCTGCACAGTTCATCACTACTCATTGTATGACATTTGTTTAATCTAAATGTTGCCACTTCTATCAACTGGAAGAAATGCCAAAATTAATGTTTGGTTATTAAATAAACACTTTGTAGTGGAACACTCCTACGAAGAAAACGCGATTTGTGAAAAATAAACATTATTATACTCGTTTTGTCTAACTGTACGAAAAACACTTCTTGCGCGCAACGTTCTCTTCACGTTGCTTCCATTTTTCTTAACGCGCTGCTTCCCATTTAATGCCTACTTTCTCCTTCAATAAAATACTCAAACATGGATTTATTTTGATTTAAGTGACGGGATAGTATGCAACATTTAGTGATGGTCATAGTCAATTTCGACTCGGTCACCACTAAAACCTAATATTTCCCATGGAATTGCAAAACATAGTTATCAACTATCAATTAGCTAAAAAAAATCATAAATCGATTTCTAACTGTTGAAACTTTTCAAGAATTCTGGTATATATATGTGAAGAATTTCTCAACCATATGTCTTCTGGTAGAAAATCAATTCTAATATGGATTCCTGTAGTAGTAGTAGTAGTAATAGTAGTAATAGTAGTAGTAAATGTACACTATTTCATAATAACAGAAATATAGGTCAAATTTATTTGAACAGATATAGCATAAAAGAAAGGTTTTAAACAATGCCAGGGGTTATATTTATTGAATTGATGAACTATTCAAATACTACAAAAACTATGGAGTTTTAACATGCAAACTTTTTTTCAAAGAACGAAACATTTAAAAAATTAACACATAGAATTCTATGTTACATAAGAAACAAAATTAAATTTTCAATAGGCTAAAACGTTTTTTTCATTACAATTATAATATCACTTGAATGAACTGTGTTGTCTACAAAAATGTATCTGTGAAAACAAATGTGTTCATGATTAGACATTTTTTTTGTCGCAGAGGGGATGTAGTAGGAAGGAGATCTCAGGAAGTGTAAGAACAGCAGGGGCATCACCCTGCTCTTAATACGAGGAAACGTTCTCGAGTGAAAGCCTGCCTTTTGGCGAAATTCTCCCATTTTCGAACAACAAGAAGCGTGTTACGCTCATATGATTTTGAGATGGTGGAGAAAATTTGTAGCTCAGGTGGATGATTGTGGTGGTGTTTCGTTCTCTGAGATCCACTACAATGTAAACATCTTTTGAACATGAAACCTGGATCACTGATGTTATCGAAATTCACCGTCTTGATGTATTTGTAACTTGCAGGATATAAGTCTACGTTTGTATACAATCAAAAACATAGTTTTCAGATTACACAATTATACATTCACTTCACAAATATAAAATAGTTTCCATGGAGTGGTATCAATTCAACTCTTCATATTCACCAAAAGACTGAATCTAATGAATGTGGTATTTTTGTACAAATTTCTAGCATTATGGTACATGATGTTACGTGCTTCCTATGAACAAAGCTCTTTCTTTTTTAGTTACTTACAAAAAACAAATCAAATTTATCAACACCAATAATGAATAGACATCATTAAACAAAATTATTTTTATATAAATCTCATAAATAATTACCTGCTTTTGACTATCATCAGGAAAATTTAAAAATCCTCCTGCTTTACTACCTAACAACCATGTTGGTGAATTATCATTGATATCAATAATATGTACACTGACTGTAATGATATTGGAATATTGATCATCTGAGCGGATATTTAAATCTAATTGACAATTGGACAAATGTTGTTCATTATCCATGACATGATTATTCATTATTAAATTTAAATATGCATTTTTATTAAGATAATTTGCATTATTTAAATATGTACAACATGATTTAAATGTTGGACACAACTGATCACGATCTATACGTCTTGCAACTCGTAATATCCCAGTTTGAGCATCTAAATGAAAATACTTCGATTGTGGTTCACTATTGAATATTTGATAATAATAATTGGTTTTGGTCGATTTCTCTTCATTATTATGATTTGTATTACTAGTTAATTGATTATTATTATTATTATTATTATTTGGATTAGTGGTACGATTAATTAAAAATTGTAAATTAGCTACTTCTCTTCCAATTGACTCTTCTTCAAGTAGATGTACATTCAATTTTTTTAATTCACCTAAAAACATTGTTTGCGTTAACGTGTTATACTTTTGTATATGTCGTACTTTTCTATGATGATGTAACAATGAACAATATGAAGTGATTATAATTATAGTCATGATAAAATTTATTAAATAAAGAAAATATATCGAATAAAATGAATGTGACTTCATTTATCACTATAAATGTGAGTATTTATTATACACATTGAAATCTATTTTTCAGTGTGGTTCAATGTTCAATATCGGATTTGTAATTATCTATGATCAATGATCTACAACAAAATGGAGGGAAATACAAAAAAAAAATACAAACGATATAAAATATGAATAGCTGAGTGTTTTGAGTAATTATAATGAAATATATATCTAAGATTCATTTAGGTTAATGATTCTAGTAACATGGGGAAAACAAATCATTTTACTTAATATCAACTATGAAAGACGTAATACAATCGGAAATGATTATATTCTGTTGTTTTTATATCCATAAAAGAAATTCTGATGGTAAGCAAGAAATCATCTTTACTCTAGATTTTTAAAAAAAATATAATTGATATTTTTTCATCGAAATATTTATAGAAGCGGTTTACTGCAATCTCGGGTTTCTCATTCGTAGCTCAAGTGGATGACTGTGATGGAGTTTTTTTCACCGAGCTGGATGTTTTGGTTGAGGAGCTTTTATTGTTCGACTGGACAAACATTAGCAGTACAATCTTCAGGTAGAAGTGAAGTAGTCGATGATGTTGTTCAACAGAATAATAAAAACTCAACAACCACACAAAATCTAGTTCAGAGAACGAAATTCCATCACATTTATTTTTCCCGTTGTAAATTAATGTACCTGAGTGTAATTTTTGGTACATTTCATTACTTAAGTGTTCTCTCCAAACACATATCTTAATCACTGGGTAAGGCAGCCAGTAATTCCATCGTTCAACATCTGATCTATTGTGGTAACCTATCTCCACAAGAACATTTCTCTAAAATCATCCAGGCAGTTGGAAAAGTTTCGTCTGAGTAAAGCTTGATATTGAAATGACAGAGGCATTGATAATTCATCAATGCGTGTAGGAAAATGTATCTCTACGCCGTTAACAACTCTGATTATCAATTTTTCATTTTGCTTGGCAACTTGCATGTTGATACCTGTTCGTTTCTTGGTTATTTTCCTTATATTCGTGGAATTTAGAAACGTCCGTCCGTATTTTTACCTCAACTTTTGGCATTCTTGTTTCTAACCCAATAATCATTGGTTTTATGGTTAAACTTCTTGTGGTGTGATATAACTGTTAACATGATTGCATAACTGTGATAAATGACCAACTGACGTTGTCCGATTTCGCTTATTTGCGTATATTCATCAGTGTAACGTATTTATCAAAATTTACGCTAACAGGAGCTCTATACACCCTTTCACATTGTAAGTCATTACTTAGATGGTAATTAAACGTTTTTAAACGTTCACTGGTAAAATATTTTTAAATTAAAAATTGCGTTGAGTTATATTTCAACTTTGATGTGTTTTATTTTACTTAGAAAGGTGTATCAACCTCATCGTAGATTAAAATTACGGTAAATACGCTGTAATTTCATCTATTTGTTAGTTCTGTAAATTTGCTTTCATAATGTTTGTTTCGGTAGGTTCATACTCAGCAACCGTAGCCAAGCCATTCCTAACGCTTGATCAATTTTATGTCAAGCCAGAAATAATTTGGCAGGGAATTTTTTTTAATTTCAGATAAAATAACCAGTATATATTCATTACCTCAAAAAAGAGACAAATATCGGACCTAATACGTAGGAAATAAATTTTTGTCTTGAAATATTTAGAATTCAATAGTTTACTCTCCTTAAACAGCAATTTAATTGTGATCATCATATAAGTCAGATCATAATATTTTGTCATCATTCATCACCAGTCGGATTTTCATACAGAAATTTCAGAAATATTGAATAAAGTTGTTGAATACATGTCTGTTACAAAGTTTCAAGATTTCAGAAGACTGTCAAACATATGATGAAGCCCCAAAGTTCACCCATTGAATCCTGTGTAACGTATGTATAAGCACTGGAGAATTTTCAAACTAAGACTAAACATATTGAATTCATCAATCAGTCATTATTAGATCACCATTAAAACCTGGAAACACTGAACAGCCATTTCGTCCTGGTGTAAGACTCATCAGCATTGAGCATCCACCACTCCTGCACCTAGCAGGATTCGGACCTAGGACCTCCGGTCTTGCATGCGAACGCCTAACCTCTAGACCATTGGGCCGGCATCGAACGCTGCCAATATCTAACTCTGATCAATCTAGAGATTTTGAGCCACCCCACCCTTTTGTCTCCAGTAGTTACCGTCTGCACACAATAAGGCTGAACTCCACAGGTCACGTCTTCTCATTAGAACTCTGAGAATTTCCTAACGAAGATATTACTAGTGAGCACATTTTACATTTTTGCCAATTAGAGTTATGGAGATTAGTGTTTTTACACATTGAAATCATCAATCAATCATTTTTAGACTCAACAATTTTGCTGTTCATGTTAGCTTAGAATAGATGTGCATACTAAAAATAAGCAAACTTATATGTTTTGAATTAGTAACGATCAACTTTCTGACAAAAACTGAAATTATTTGATCCAGAAATACAAGTTAAAATTATTTTGAGATAAAAAAATACATTTTTATTTACTTAGTATATAACATTCATTCGATGCTAAAGTAAGAGCTATAAATTCATAATTCTCCAAGTTTTTATTTGTTTAACAGAAACGATCACAATATTAGCTCAGGATGAAGTCAATAGTAATAGACTGATTGCACTGATAAGTCTGAGAACTTCAACTAACCAGTAAAACAAATAATGCTTTGATGCTGATATGATATCATTACAGTTCATCAGAGTCTTGGAAAATATGCTCGGTATGAATATTCAGAGAAATTGGTTGCCTGAAAATCACTGTAGGAACTCATGCTAAGAAGGCTATGCAACATAAAAATGTCTGTTATGTCTGTTACACATTCACTGATTTTTATCTGATCAATTTGGCTATAATAACACTCAATAAATCTAAGAAGAATGCTTGTATTAAACTGTCTAAATCAGAAATATGGAAAAAATTATCATCAACCGTAAATCACTCGAGAAATCTAGTTGAATCTTAGAGTACTTGAATGTTGCCATTAAGTTCAAATTTTACATGGAAGCAAATAGTGTTGTTTTTAACTGGATTTATCTAATGAAAATAAGCTGTAATAAATAACTATAATTGTTTTTATAAACTTTGAAATAAGATAATTTTCACTATAGGGTTGTGAAGATTGTTAAGTTTCATTGAGATCACGAATTGATCAGTGTTAAACCATCAATAGAAACCTGAAAGCCTAGGACAGCTGTTTCTACTTAAGCATCAGCATTGCACATCCATGACCTCTGCACATGGGAATCGAACCAATGACTTTTGATTTCGCTAAGATCACTTGTAAACCATTGCTAATAAAAAGACAAGTTTGATTGAACTCTTACCATTAAAATAAAGGTTGTAATTTAAAAGTTGTACATTTTTAAAATATTTGAAATATTCAACTAAACAAGAACAGAACCCGAAAATTAATGAAGCAGAAATCATAAACGAACAAACAAAAAAGGTTAAAATTTGACAATCACATCATCTATTCAGAATTCTTGAGGTATAGAAACAATAAAGATTTTAAAAATCAATTTTGATTGCGTTATGCAAATTTATCAATGATTGTTTATTATAAAGACTAGGTTGATTGATTTCAAATTCATTTAAGGTCATTTAGTTTAAAACATCATGGAAAACGGTTGGATGATTTGAAATCTATCTATCAGATATTACTGAAAATGATTACATGTTATGCTTATGCTCAGAAAATATATACAAGAATTAGGAGACAATTACATTTTATTGGCTAAGTACAACTCAGTTAATTAATTAACGAATATTTTATTATACAGAGAAACCTAAGATTATTTCAATGTTTCGGCATGTAAATTACATTTCTGCTGATTCATGTAAAAACTAACGTCATCATACTGACCTGCTATAAAAAAAAACATATACTATCTCTTAAGATTTCCCCAGCATAATTCCCATTTAAAACACAAGCGAGATAACTGAACTTTGGTTTCCGTTTGATAACATTTGGTAACACGATGGTTAGGATTCCTGATAAGATGTTTACAAAAAAAATAAATTTTCAACCAGACGTTGTCGATTATTGTCATATCAAATTATTCAAAAACCCTGTTCCTAAATTCTTAAAAAAATCATACCCATCTCTCCCCTTAGTTTCAGGTGAATGATAAACAGAATTCATTTGATATTTCGCAATCGCATTCAGTTATAACTCATCGTCATCTGAATGGGAAGTTGAATGTGAACATAAATGTAACTGAGGAAATCAGTCGGAAAAAAGTGCTTTTTACAGATGAAATTTGAAAATAAGCCGGATGTTTATATTGTTCCGCTAAAAGTTTTAATTTTATGTCTTCAAAAGCGATAGAACATACAGTTTGTGCATAATTTTAAATAAATGTTTCGTCGAAGATTGCAATTTTTGTGGTAATATTGATACCAACGAATGTTCCGCATCAGTAGTTTATGAAGTGAATATTACTGAATGAAGCGGAAACCTGGAGAACTACCAAAGCCATCAGCCACAAGATACAAGTGTTTATTAACAGTTGTTTGCACAAAATACTTCGGACCCGTTGAAAAGGCACTATCAGAAACAACCTGTTGTGGAAGAGAACAAACCAGATTTTAACCGAGGAAGAAACCAGGAATGAGATGGCAAACATCTAGCGGAAAGCACCCAACTGCATCAAAGACAAAGAAAAAGTGGAGAAGTGAGAAACACATCACGCTGAGAAATGGAGACAGATATGAAGAGAATGTACAAAAATTGGACAGACCTGGAAAGAGAGGCCCAGGACAGAGTGATCTGAAGGATGCTGGTCGGCGGCCTGTGCTTCATTGGGGGTGACAGGTGTACGTAAGTAAGTAATGAAGTGAGTATGTAGTTTCCGAATATACTATTGTTTATCTAAGATATGAAATATATTAAAACATTCACTAGGATACTT